AAGCTGCTTCATAACCCTCAGTTAACCCTAGTAAATAGGCAGACACTCTTAAGGTCACTATATCTTCGCCCAGAGTCATCGAAACGAAAGAGGAGAGTTCGAAGTGACCTTGTCTTCGCATCCCTCATTGGCGGTCAGTTCATAACTGATTAATATCTCACTGCTTATTGAGGCAGGAAAGATGAAGACTTAACGAAGAAATAAGTTGTGTGGACGCAGTAGCGAAATGAATAACGCATCAGGGTTTAGAGCGAAATGTATTGACTTCGAACCTCCGCGTGGGCATCAGCTTTACAGTTCATGTACATCGAGCTTACGTGTTCTAAACAGAATGAAACATGCGTCCTGCACTCCACTGCTAGTCACCATTCACCTTTACTTGGAATGCTCATGAGTTAATGACAATATTGAGATAGTCCTTATTCGTTCTCGATATGTTTAAAGAGACTGGTTTCTAACAGACCTTAATATCTATGGGAGAACTGATACAACCAATACAAATTAATTAAAGTAATAAAACATTTATTGCCAGATGGTAATCGCTTCAAAAACTCTCACTCGAAGTTAAAATTAGTCTCCGTTTATCAGCGACAAACTGATGACTATACTTTCTTGTTAATCTCATAAAATCATCGTTCGATTACCGTATCGTGTATTCATTCACGTGACAGTCATGCCCGGTTGTGGAAGCCGATGATATTCTAGGTCGAGTTCATGGTTCTAAAGTGTTCTCGAGAGTTAAATTAAAAGATGTTTACCTTCAGATTCTTTTAGATCAATCTTCATCTATTTTGAACACAACTAACACTCTTTCGGCCTATTCAAATATAAATTACTTGGATTTCGTCAAAGTTGTCCTCTAGACACATTTAATCAACTGATGAATAATGTAATCAGTAATCTTGAAAGTGTTGACTTTTTTCTGGGAATAGAAGCAAGAAATGGGACTGGTACCTTATGTACATTAGTAACAATATAAATATCCGTTTATTTGTTTGCAGATCGCACGAAGATGTGTTTGTGAAGTAACTAGCTATGAACTCCCTTTTGAAGGTTGTAGATCTATGCTCTATGTCATCTATCTTAGACCAATCCGCTCTGCTGATGAATTTTACAACACATTCAGCTATGAAGTAAAAATAACAGATAACTGACATTATCCAGTTGATATCAGGTTCGTAGGGTTCCGAAACAGCACCAGTAAACATACTAGGTGTTACGTTGCAACACGTGTAACCAGAATTCACTAGAAGTCGGGAAGACCTAAAACCACGACACATACTATGTTAACCGAGCACTTTACACCACAGGGAGTACACGGAATGGAGACCGCCGGTCATTTATTCGAAAATTAATACTCACGGGTTATGTTCAGAAAGGAGAGCTAGTTTACAAAACGGTCTTATAAGTCATCCTGTAAGTTTAGTGCATGCAGGGCTTTAATTCTGGGTTGCCCTTCAATAGGAAGAAAACGAAATCTATTACCAACATCATACATGATGATTTTAACCCCGATACAACGTACCTGTTGAGTTTGCGCGGTAGTGCTTTGACTACTGTGAGGAATTCCGCATGTGTGTCGTTCACGCGGTGCTCGTAGAAGTCGACTTCTGCGTAGCACAATCAGGCTCCGATGTTGCCTGGCCAGAAGGGCAATAGTTGGAACGGACGTGGGGACATAGTCTTTAGCTTAAGTACCTTGCGCATCAATAGTGCGTCGTAGGAAGTCTAATGAGTCAGTTCCGATTTGGCATTTTGAATGATAACAGTCGGTTGAAAACAAAATCCGGACGCTGGTGATGCGATTCTCTGTCCGGACTGGATATAAGGCAGTCACCATCATACTGATGTACGAGGTTGAGACCTTGAAAAGCGTCATCTATGGCATTTGGAAGTTTTGGGCATCGTTTCTTTGACTGAAACGCATTCGCGAAAATTCATTGCTTGAAGGGAGTATTGATAGTGGTTTTCGGTATATAATCTGTAGCCATAAAGGTTTGGTTATACACTTTAACAAAGTCGATTTTCGAAAAGACATTTGTACCTTTCAAGGTAGCTGTCAAATCTTGAATGTGAGGCAACGGGTAACGATCAAGAATGGTTTCTGAATTCAATCGCCGGTGGTCACTAATTGGACGCCAATCGTTGCTGTCCTGTTAGGGGACCATGTGCAGCGTAGATGTATATGGGCTATTTAACGGTCGTATGATTCCTAAGTCCATCATGTGGTGGAACTCGCTTTTCGCCAACCTTAGCTTTTCGGGGGCTAGTCGTCGTGCTTTAGAGAATACAGGTGGTCCTGTAGTCGTGATGTGATGTGTAACATTGCTGGTTACACAGGGTAATTTCGGTTGCAGTTGGTATATCCCAGAATACTTATGGAGTAGCGGTTGATAAAGTGAGTCTATCGTATGCTTAACTGTGACTGGGGATAATCTGCAACCAGAAAAGGAAGTTACGCAAACGGATAAATTAGTGTTTCTGTCTAATAGCTTCCGTTTGCGCGTATCGATGAGTAGACTATGGTGTTGTAGAGGGTCTATATCAATGATTGGCATAGAAACATCTGCAACAACGAAGATCCAGTGTATGGGTTTGTGTAAACCCACGTTAAGATAAACGTACCTTTTGCCATACGTAGCGATAGGTTTTCCGTTTGCCGCCTGTAAGATTAGGGTCGATTCGTGAAGCCGGTCGTTAGGATTCGCTGAGAGAACACTAACTTCCGCGCCAGTGTCGACGAGGTAGCGAACTCTCGTTGTCACATCTGTGACGTATAACAGACGGCAATGTTCGCCGGCTACGGTTGCCGTTAACGCTTGCCGGCTTGGAAGTTTCCCGAGTAGTTTTTCGTGTCGGTTGGTTTTGAGTTGGGAAAATTGCAGGGTCTTCTGCAATTTCTGGAGGACTTTCCATACTGACTTTAATGCCAGCACCAGTCGGGGTTATCTGTCTCTCGTGGTCTAGAGACAGATCGCTTACTTGAAGTGTTTCTTCTCAAGGTGTGTGACCGTTTACGTTCGTTATGAAATTCACGATAACGTGTAAGTGTATGACGTAACGCGGTTATTTTATTCTGGGTCGTTCGAGGCTTTTCTTTGACTGAAAAAGCCTCGGTATTAGAAGATTTGGTGCTTTCTGAAATTTGGTCGGCAGATGAAGCCAGCTCGTCTACGGCCTCGTTTTGAAACGATACCATCACAGCTTGCGCCCGTGAGGAAGTTTGGATAAGAAAAGTTGTTTAAATAGGCCATCATCGAGGGTTCCTTGGCCGATAAACTCTCTCATCCGTTGCAACACGTCCATCGCAGAGTGCTGCAGGTCGATGTGGTTACGGAGTTGGTCTAATCTTTGTCTATCGGTTAGGTCTCCGTGTCTATGAATAGAATGTTTCAGTTTTTTTGTAAGGTTCCGAAAATTCACTAGTAAACATTCTAGGTGTTACTTCACTTTGTATTGTTCTACTTGAATCTTCCCATTGATGTCTTAGGAACGCGCGTCCTGGATTCCACTGCTAGCCACTATCCATCTTTGCTTATGATGTTTGTGAATTAAGGCAATATCGAGGCATACGCACAGAATGCACATATGCCAATAAGAGACTGATGAATTTCAGTCCTACAACATCGATGGAAAGATTCAAGTAGAACAATACCAAGTGAATTAAACTTCACCCCATTGCACAAGCAAGTGGCTGTCAGGACTCAGTAGCTAAGTGGATAGCGCGATGATGTTTGAAGCGAACGGTACTTAGTTCGAGTCCCAGAGTGAACATCAACTCTGAGATGCAGATACATCCAGCTGACGAGTCACAAATAGAACGAAACGCGCTTCCTGGGTTCCACTGCCGGCCATTATCGTTCTGGGTGTTACGTACCTGTTAAATTTGCGCGGTAGTGCCTTGACTACTGTGAGGAATTCCGCATGTGTGTCATTCACGCGGTGCTCGTAGAAGTCGACTTCTGCGCAGCACAACCAGACTTCGATGTTGTCTGGCCAGAAGGGCAATAGTTGGAACGGACGTGGTCTGCGGCCTATGCTCCATTATGAGTAACAGATGTAAGTAAGTACGTAAGTAAATAAGTAAGTTAGTAATAATATACGGAATTCCAAAAAAGAACAGACTCACAGTTTAAAATTTGGTGTACTAGATCACGTCGAGCTCAACAATCAAGATGCCACAGGTATTCAGGGTTTGACAACTCTTTAACCAGTAACACCTTCTAACATGAAGCTCACCCACCAAGTGAAATCAAAAAACGGAAGCGAGGACGTTCGAATATATATTTGATTGGCCATCAATATATCGAGGATCGTCTGATCTAATCTGGCTAGCGATTGCAGGGGTTGTTGAGCACGTCGTTCCCACTCGTGATCTGGTGCGGATGCATGACAAAGTGCCTTCAGCTATGTGAGTCCATTAAAACTAATGTGGTCAGCATCCAATGTCGAAAACTTACAGAGCTATTTATTCTGTTGATTTATTTTCAGCTACAAGGTCATAGACCCAAATCAAAGGTTCACTATCTGTGGTTTTGATATTTGTACAATGTAATAAGTTTTCTCAGTTCTGAAGCAAAACACACTACATAAGGACGTTCATTTGGTACATTCCAAGCAAGTTTGTGTCTTCACAGTCCTAGAAATAAGAGGAGTATAACGTGGGTTGATGGACCTATACTTACTACTGAAAACTGAAGATAATTGGTAAGCTGTGATACTTTGAAGAATATCTGCTTGTGAGTGTCATTTGCACAGACAAAAATTAAGAAAGACCACAATGGACTTTTTGTAGACACAACTGACTCCTGCAGTGTACTAAACAATGAATAGTTTGCTATGACCCAAGATAGTACATCATTTTTGTGGCCTAAGCCTGTCTTTATAAGAGATCGGATACTATTCTAATAAGAGAATGAAAAAAGGTTTGATGTTTTGAACGGCAAGCATTCACTGATCATTGAAATTGTTTCGAACAAGCCCCAATCGACCTACTGTATTTTTACTTCTTGCACTTTTTTAAGTATTGACCTTGACATAAGTCTATAGTATGTGATGTCTCTTAGGTTGCTTTTTGGCTCAGTGAAACTAAGACATCTTTGGATGCTAGTTTTGGCATATGTTATCTCGTTCATTGTGGTGGATCATCATAGCTTTTCGCTGATACCAGTTTGGGCTTTACATTTAAAAACTAATAAACATGTTCCAGTTGAGTCAGATGGAAATTCTAGCAATTTGTTTAGCACAGTTGTCGAGTACTCATCACAAAATTGGAGCATCTACTTGTCAGTTGCTGTTCCTCAATCAAATAGTAGTTCTTCATACGATTTGGTCGTTTTCCAACTCCCTATGTCAAAGTCACTTGAGTTTTCTGTTATGGATCCTGATCGTAAAATAGCTAATTTTCTAAATTTCCGAAAAATACAGTCAAACAGTTTTAACCGAAAACCGGTCAGGTTGAAATCTTTGTTTTATAAAGGTATTTTGGTAGGTTTTAGTTTGTTGCTAGGCATGTACTTTTTGGGTTTAGATCCATGTGGTTGTAGAATGTCGCAAAATTAGCTCTCCAGTGAACTCTTATGTTTTATTTGAGATTGCTGTGTACAATAGTCAGCTCAGAGAGACATGGAGGAGAGCTCTTTACCAAATTCCACTGGATGAGAACGCGCTAGACTTCAAATCAGTTCCTATCTCCTTATCACTTGATTTAACATGCGGTTTGGTTCATCCTAGACTTTGTGGAGTGATCTTTGTCGGTTTCCTGACGAACAAGTAAGTTTGATCATCTAAATACTTCTTCTTGTAAGGATTGATATATGTCACCTAATGCCAGGGATTTCCCATTTTCTATTCTACTGAATTATGTTAAGAAACTTACAAAATGATCGTTTAAGTGCGTCATGGCAAAACAAATGGTTTTGGCGTCCTAATTACTGATGGTATTAGGGTGGTTAGTGTCTAACTACGACAAATATTCCTTATCAATGCATTGATGGTATAAACATTATGTTATTCACAAACAAAACTACATTATTAAGGAAAAAATCTAGTTTTCGGAACCCCTGAAACTGATGTTAGTGTTATTTAGTGTAGCCACCTTATTGATGATATGAATCCTGCTCACGAAAGCCGATTGGAATTTGACTTGCTACTGTGGAAACATTCACTTTGTGACTGAAACTAGCAACATGGTGGAACAATTTCGACAACTTTCCTGTTTACATCAATAACATGACGGTTAAGGATGAACCATAACAGAAAGTTCGGTATTTAATTTGATTGTTCCAAAAACGGCTGCGATTTGTTTTAAAACCATCATGTAAGTAATGTTAAGACGGAGCGTCAAGTTAGATTTCGGAATACTTAATTGCGCGAAATTACATAATAATAACCACTGAAGCCTAAGGTTAATACCACTATGCTAGCGTACATGCAGTCCAGCACGAAGTCAGGTGCATGCTTCATTCAACCACTGAAGCCTGGGGTAAATGCCACTAAGCCAGCGTGCATACTTCATTATATATTTTTAGGTCGTGATAATGATCCATCCACAGGTTCACCTACGGAAACCTTGTTACAACTTTTACTTCCTCTAAATAGTCAGATCAAGTCATCTCAGCATCAGTCGAGTGGCGAAGCCACTACAGCGACACTAATCCGATCGGTAGTAGCGATGGGCGGTGTGTACAAAGGGCAGGGACATAATCAGCGCAAGCTTATGAGTTACATTTACCAGGAATTCCTCATTCACGGGGATTAATTTCAAACCCCAGTCACGAACTTGATGAAACAGTTTGCCTAACCCTTTCGGCCAGGTGGTCAGACTCGTTGGCACCGTCATTGTAGCGCATGTGTGTCTCCAGACATCTAAGGGCATCACAGACGCGTTATTGCTCAATTTCGTGCCACTTAAACATGACGCTTGTCCCTCTAAGAAGTAAAAAGTGGTACTGCACCCGCCGGCTCACGACCACACCACTCCATAAAAAGCAATGGAAGCCACGCCGTAAACGAGCACAGAGGACCAGTCTACTATTTATCAGGTTAAAGTTCTTGTTTGTCATCGGAATTAACCAGACAAGTCGCTCCACCAACTAGAAACGGCCATGCGCGTTTGGTGTGATCGTTAAGTACGTTCGCATCTATTCAACTGTAACAGGGTTGTTCATGACCAGGTTCAAGACAGAATCAATGCAGTTAAACCATGAGATAGGTTTTATCTGTTGGATTGTTTTGTTTTAAAGTAGATTCATTGCAAATTTGGAAGTACGTTTGTTTCGAATTTATTTAGATCGTACAAATAAACTTTTAAAGTTTTTAGTCTGTGTCACGAGTTTATCCCCCTTATCTTGGTTTGTGTGATACTCAGCAACCGTGCACATACACTATTATGCTAAACTGCAAGCTTCAGGTTTATGTCATACTTATGTACTGGATAGTGATACTACTGTTGCAGAGGTAGAATCCAAACATTAAGAGTCGCCAATCCACTGCTGTTTATGGAATTAATTCACTACTGTAGTTAAAGCACTTGGTTGGTTTGACCCCACTGAACTAAGACATAGTTGTTACTTTCTTTTGGTTTGGTCTTAGCATAATCATTTCCTGTATTATGAATCGTGTTTTGTGACTGTACGTATACTGTGTCAAATCAAAAACTGGTTTAAGAGGATAACGGTTGTTTAGTGTTGCAAAGCAATCTAGCGATTTTCCACTTTCAGATCTAAATGTCTGCTATATGCTGACTTAAGAGGTTTCTAATGGCCCTATAGCTTTGCAACACTTAGCATCAATTTTCAGTTCAAATCGATCCCTTGAATTTTGTATAGTGATCATCCATAGCTTTGCTTGATTAGTCATAAGGTGGCCATCGAATCCCCAGTTTTGAATCTGTATTCCTTGGTCATGTCATTACAGTCTACGGAATTTTAGAGATCTTAGGTTTAATCTAAAATGCTCGCGCATATCTATCATTTTGCTTCATATTTAAGTACTTCTGTATTAGAATTTCCAAATTTATAAAAACTGTATACTATGGATGTCAAATTGGGTTAATGTAGTTGAATTCCATGTAAATCAACACTTTCTAAGACTATTTGAACTTAAGGTCTTACCTTTAAATTCTCCTGAACGATTTCTGTCCTATTTAGCTACATACTGTTAAGATTTACGTGTTTTTATCAATGATAATCATTAGTACTAGATTAGATAACTTATATAGTCTCTGGTTATCTCATTTACAGAGATTATTTTTCATAGACTCAAATTAATGCTTTTTATACCTTATTCAAGAGCACATAGTACTTTCACAAAAAAACTAGTTATACAAAACCTCATCTTTGTTATATATCTTTAACTGTTCAAATATGTGTTGTACATTTATTTATACTAAGGAACTATGACTTTTTGACCATATTAGAGTATGTAAATCAAGCTCATAACAGTGTTATGAGGTTGATGGCTAGGTGTTGTAATGATCGTACTTCAATTATATCCTGGTCCACTTCGTCAGGTTCATATCGTCGGCAGCTGATATAAATACACAAGTACGACAATTATTCACTAACTTCCAATGAACACGAAAGCTCACAGTTCTTACTCTTGTGAAAACACTTTTCAGTCCCACGGTGCAGAGTGCATAACCATTGTATAAATACCAATCAACAGTAAACGAATAACAAACCACCATAGTTTTTTCTGTGATCTACGTAAAAGTGTCTTAATGCGCTCATTAATTTAAAAATGACGAATATGCTTATTTGTCTACTTAAGTGTACTAGTGTTTTTATTACTTCTTCTCACAGTTCTAACATATATCTGAACATTCATTCATTCATCCTTAGTAGTCTGCATTATTCAAAGCAAAGGATCTTTTAAAGGCCGTAATTTTAGCAATATTTCATTTTATACAATTGTTTCTTCATCTTCCCTAGTATCAGCTTATCACATTACTCTACCATATCCCTTTCATTGGATGATGGGGAAATACTTTGGCACCATCTAGTTGGTGATTTTGAAGATTCGATAAAAGTAAGATAAGTTTGATTATAAAGTGCTATGTAAATAAACAGGTTAGTGTTCCTTTTTACACTCTCATTATTGGAAATGTGTAGATGTTTTTCAGCCTTCTTTCACAACGTAGCGCATAGCTTTATGATTTAAAATAGACTAAATTATTTCCACTGATAACAAAAACTATCTCTTTCAGTATAGGGGATCGTGAAAATTGTTGAATTCCGTAGTTTTAGACCACATCCTGACTTTCTTGGATAACCATTGAAAAACAAGAAGCACTAGATAGACTATCTGTGAAACTCAAAATATTGCACAGTAAAAGTGTATACTTAATCCCTTGTTCACTACTGATCGTTTAGAATTTTACTTATAAAACTACTGATGTAGATTTTATTTATTGAGTTAAATTTTTAGTGGAAAATATGCATGTTAGGACGTTCCAAAATTAACGGAATTAATGACTTTGTTTACGCCTGTTACTCTTCATGGAGGAGCACAGGCCGCTCACAAGCATTATTATTATTATTACTATTATTATTGTTATTATTTATTATTATTATCTGCTTTATTCAGTATTATATTTTTGGTACAATATAGAATTCTCAGCGCAAAGTATTTCAACAAGTTTCCGTTTCTTTCTTCTTGGTCGGTCCTGGCGATAAATATTGAGTGATCACCAGTTAGATGTTAGCACTTCAGTGAATGAACATCTGAATAATGTGCATTCTTTTCGTTGTATATTGCTAGCAACCACATTGTCTCTTATTGAGTTTTTTGTAACTTTGACAACGAAAGGTTGTACACTTTTCAGAAACGCAGCAGGATAGGTTATGCGATTAATAAACATAATGATATATTAAAACAAACAAAAATAGATAACTTGTTGAAATATCTAGATGGCAGGAACAGGTAGCCCAGATGCTCAAGCAGGCCGCCCTTTTCTCCACCCAACTCCAACTGGGCAATCCTTCTCGGTTGCTATTCATCATTTCGATGCCTGCTTCCAATATCCAACGCAATATGCTCTTTGGTCTTCCTCTTTTCCGTTTCCTTCCAGGATTCTAGTTAGCGCTTGCTTCGTGATGCAGTATGGTGATTTCCAGAGTGTATATCTTATCCACTTCCATAATCTTTTCTTAATTTTCTCCTTAGCTGGGACCTGCTTTGTTCTCTCCCGACCAACGGATATTGAGTATAATGCGTAGACAATTGTTTATGGTTGTGGTAGTTCTCCAAGTTTCAGCTCCGTACGATAGAACTTTCTTGGCGTCCATATTGCAGATTGTGACTTTGATATTGGTTGACAGTTGTTTTGTGTCCCATATGTTGTCCAACTATACGAAAGCTGTCCTTTCTTTAGCATTCCTTGCCTTTAAGTCTGCATCAGATCCTCCTTGTTCATCAATGATGCTTCTCAGGTACGTGAATGTTTTCACCCCTTCGAGAGTTTCTCCATCAAGTCTAATTCGATTGGTTTTCGCCGTGTTGTATTTGGAGATCTTACTTTTTACCTTGTGTATGTTGAGGACTGCTGATGCAGTGGCTACTGCTACACTGGTTCTATTGGTATGCATTTGCTCGTGGGTGTTGCTTCTCAGCATGGCACTGCCGAGTAGTGCGAATCCGCAACTCAAATTTTGACCTAACCAAGCAATTGGCACTAGATAACTGAACCGGTATCTAGTGGTTTTCTATTCAACAATTCACAGTTATTTACATATAATATCTTTCCAACTCTTCCAGAGTTTTTGCATCAAGTGTAATTGGACTGGTGTTCTCCGTGTTGTATTTGGAGATCTTACTTTTTACCTTGTGTATGTTGAGGACTGCTGATGCCGTGGCTACTGCTACACTGGTTCTATTGGTATGCATTTGCTCGTGTGTGTGGGATAGAAGAGCTAGGTCATCTGAAAAGACCATATCGTCTAGTTGCATGCAAGCTGTCCATTGTATTCCGTGCTTCCCCTCAGGAGTAGCTTACTTACTTACGCCTGTTACTCCTCGTGAAAGAGCATAGGCCGTTCACCAGCATTCTCCATCCAACCCTGTCCTGGGCAATCCTTTCCAGCTCTTTCCAACTGTTATTCATCTTTTTCGTGTCTGCTTCTATTTCCCGACGTAATGTGTTCTTTGGCCTTCCTCTTTACCGCTCCCCTACAGGATCCCAAGTTACGGCTTGTCTCGTGATGCAGTTTGATGATTTGCATAATGTTTGTCCTATCAATTTCCATCGTCTTTTCCTAATTTCCTCTTCAGCTGGAAGCTGGTGTATTCTCTCCCACAAAAGGCTGTTGCTGATGGTATCCGGCCAATGGATGTTGAGCATCCTGCAAAGACAGCTATTTATGATTACTTGTACCTTCTTGATGGTGGTTGTAGTAGTTCTCCAGGTTTCAGCTCCATGCAGTAGAACTGCCTTGACGTTCCTATTGAAGATTTTGGCTTTGATATTGGTTGAAAGTTGTTTTGAGTTCCATATATTATTCAGTTGTAGGGATGAGGCCCTTACTTTACCAATCCTCGCCTTTACGTCTGCATCTGAACCTTCTTGTTCATCGATGATGCTTCCCAGGCATGTGAGGGATTCTACATCTTCCAGAGTTTCGCCATCAAGAGTGATTGGATTGCTGTTATCCGTGTTGTTTTTGAGGACCTTGGTTTTCCCCTTGTGTATGTTGAGGTCTACTGATGCAGAGACTGCTGCTACACTGTCTGTCTTTATCTGCATTTGTTCATGTGTATGTGATAGGAGGGCTAGGTCATCTGCGAAGTCTAAATCGTCCAATTGGTTCTGAGCTGTCCATTGTATGCCGTGTTTTCCCTTAGATGTCGAGGTCTTCATAATCCAGTCGACCACCAGAAGAAAGAGGAAGGGAGAGAGTAGACAGCCTTGTCTGACTCCGTCTTTACTTGGAATGCATCTGTCAGCTGTCCTCCATGCACGACGTTGCACTGTAGTCCGTCGTATGAGTTCCGGATAATGTTGATAGTCTTTTCAGGAACTACATAGGGTCGAAGAATTTTCCATAACATTCTCCTATCTACACTGTCAAATACCTTTCCCTAATCAATGAATTTGATGTACAGTGACGAGTTCCACTCAATTGATCGTTCGACGATGATGCGTAGTGACTCCATCTGGTCGGTGCACGATCGATCTCTACGGAATCCAACTTGTTGATCTCGAAGTTGAGCGTCTACTGCGTCTTTCATCCGGTTCAGCAACACTCTGTTAAAGACTTTCCCTGGTACTGACGGTAGTGTAATGCGCTTGTGGTTTTCATATTTGCTCATATCTCCTTTCTTCGGAATCTTGATGAGGTGTCCTTCTTTCCAGTCCATCGGCACTTGTTCCTCCTCCCAAATCCTTTTGAGTAAAAGGTGAAGCATGTTTGTAGTTACTTCGATGTCTGACTTCAGTGCTTCAGCTGGTATATTGTCGGGTCCTGCTGCTTTCCCGCTCTTGATTTGTCTGATGGCCACTCTGATTTCTTTGGTCGTTGGTAGATTGACATCTATAGGATGATCTGTGTGTGCTGCTTCGATGTTCGGTGGATTGATTGAAGCCGACCCATTCAGGATTTCCTCGAAGTATTTTACCCATCTGTTCCGCTGTTGTTGAATTTCAGTGATTGGCCTGTCTTCTTTGTCTTTGACCGGTCTCTCTGTTTACTATATCTCCCTGCTAGTTTCTTCGTTGTATCGTAAAGCTGTTTCACATTTCCTTCACTTTCAGCTTTTTCCACTGTCATTGCTAGTTCTTCCACTCATTTCTTGTCGGCTTTAATGCTCTTCTTCACTTGCTTGTTTGCTTCTATGTATTCAGCTTGTGCTTGGACTTTCTCTGCTCGTGTTCGGCTGTTGTTAATTGCTGTCTTCTAGTTCTTCCTTTCTTTGATCCTGTCCAGTGCTTCTATAGAGATCCATTCTTTATGATGATGCTTCTTGAGGCCCAGAACCTCCTGATACGTTGAAGTTAATGCTTCTTTGATACCTTTCCAGTTGTCCTCCATAGTAGTTTCTTCTTTCAGTAGATCCTGTAAGGCTTTGAACCCATTGAGAGCTATCTTGAATTCATTGAGTGTGTCAGTATCTCGAAGGAAGGCTGTATTGAACCTTTTTAGTACTGTTTGTCCAGTTGTCCAGTTCTTTTTCAGTTTCAGTTTTAAATTGGCTACAACTAGGTGGTGATCTGAAGCTATGTCAGCACCTCTCCTGGTTCTCACATCTTCCATTGTCCTTCGGAATTTTTGTTGATGCAAATATGATCTATCTGATTCTCTGTAGTGTGGTCCGGCGAGATCCATGGAGCCTTGTGTATATGCTTGTGTGGAAATATTGTGCCTCCTATGACCAATTTGTTGAATGCACATAGATGTGCAAATCTTTCTCCATTTTCGTTTCTCTCTTCCAGTCCATGTCGTCCCATAATATCTTCATATCCAGTGTTGTCTATTCCGACTTTGGCGTTTAGATCTGCCATCAGAATGGTGAGGTCGTTTCTTGGGCACTTCTCTATGATTGATTGCAGCCTCTCATAGAATTGATCTTTAATGTCGTCGTTGCTATGATTGGTGGGTGCATAACATTGAATGATATTCATTGTGATCCCCTCACTCTTTGTTTTGAATGATGCTTTGATAATTCCCATCCTACAAGTGCATTTCGTGCTACTTTGGATAGCATTAGAGCAACCCCCTAAGTGTGTGGAGCATTTCCCTCTTCGTGACCGGAGTACAGCAGTATCTCTCCCGTATTTAGCTTTTTTTGTCCAGCTTGGATCCAATGGGTTTCGCTGATTCCCAGTACTTCCAAGTTGTATCTCCTCATTTCCATTGCTATTTGACTGGTCTTCCCGGTCTCCCACATTGTCCGTACGTTCCATATACCTATAAAAATTTCGCTCTAGTTGTTAGAAGGGGCATCGGCCTCGTGGCTTCCAAAGGAGCTCGGTTTTCATCATGAGGCGTCATAACTCTTCTAAATGAAGACCTTCTAACTCTCAGGGCAGAGTTTAAATGGTTTGAATTATTTGTTTCTGGTTAGCGTTTTTTAGCGAGTTAGTTTTCTACGGGATGGGGTCGCTAACCCAATGCCCAAGCATCATCGTCTACCTGAGCTTGGGACCGGCAGTAACTCTAGAAGAGCTAGAGGCGGAGTTCCTCAGGAGTAGAGGTCTTCATAATCCAGTCAACTACCAAAAGAAAGAGAAAGGGGGAGAGTAAGCAGACTTGACTGACACCGATCCTCACTTGGAATGCGTCTGTCAGCTGTCCTTCAAGCGCGATTTTTCAGTGTAGTCCATCGTATGATTTGCGATTGATTCTGACGATTTCCACAAATACACTATAGATTCGAAGAACATCACATAATAATCTTCTATCCACGCTGTCAAATGCTTTCTCATAATCAAGTTAGTTGATGTGTGTTGACGAGTTCCACTCAATCGATTGTTCAACGGTGATCCGTGGTGTTAGGATTTGGTCTGTGCACGATCGATCCCTACGGAATGCAGTCTGTTGATCTCGAAGTTGGGTGTCTACTGAATCTTTCGTCTGGTTCAGCAACACTATCGAAAGCTTCTAGTGATACCGATAGTACTGCGATGCCTCTGCAGTTCTCACATTTGCTTAGATCTCCTTTCTTTTGTATTTTGATGAGGTCTCCTTCCTTCCAGTTTATCAGCGTCACTTGTTTCTCATCGAAAATCTTCGTGAATAGAGTGTGGATCATGTTTGCAGTTGCTTCTATGTCTGACTTCAGTGCTTCGGCTGGTATATTGTCAGGTATTGTGAATCGCGAGTTGGCTACTCTAAATTCTACCGATTGACTAGCTTCAGATATCCCAGTTCGACCCCAATACTGTTCCCAATCTCCAATATATCAGAACACGAACCGTAGATGAAAAATCGTTTATGGCGTCAGGAGCAGCAGAATAATGATTTACAAACAAATGCATATTTATACAGTTAGGATTACTATAAATATTGACCAACAGAAAGATGACACGTTAAATAATATTGACCAATAGGAAAATGACACGCGAAATAAATATTGATCAGTAGGGAAACGACCAATAGGGAAATGACACCATTTAACGTTCAAGGGTAGCATTAGACTTAACCGGATTATTGTTTCTGGGATGTTCTTCTGAGTATCCCAACAAGGTCCTACTGATTTCCCACTCTTGATTTGTCTGACGGCCATTCTGACTTTTGATCGTTGGTGGAGTGACCTCTGTTGGAGGTCTGTGTGTACCGCTGCTATGTTTGGTGGGTTCAGTTGAGCTGGACTATTCAAGAGTTCAAATTGTTCTGACCATTTGTTCCTCAGCTCTTGAATCTCAATGTTCTAACCTGTTCGTTCGGGTTGAACATATTTCCCTGCTGGTCTTTTCGTCGGATCGTATCTTTGTTTCATATTCCTTTTTATGCTATCATTGTTATGTCTTGCACATATTTGCACTTACCAGCTCTAACACTCTTTTCCCTCGTTTTTTGCCTCTATGTATTTAGTTTGTTTCTGACTTTCTCTGCTGTTAAACCACACGTATGACGCTTGAGTTTGTAAACCAGAGTAAGTAGAATAGATCTCGACTTGCAATCTATTTGACCGTCCAGGGATCTTGGTACCTGCGTCGTAGCCCCATAGAATTGAGCTATTCTGTTCAGTTCTTAGTGTAAAAGCTTGGATAGTGTCTGGTTCTCCTGAAAACCAACGTAAAATTATTCTCTTGCAGAGTGTATTTGTATAATTGTAATCCACTAGTTATGAATGAATATCTTGAAATATTAGATCATGGACTGAATACTACTTAGAATGAATATTAATCAGTAATAGCGTTTAAATCTATGACGTATCAAATAATTCTACGTAATATTGTTCTTCCTTGTGAATTATCGATTGAATAGGTGATTTTGATGAAAGTAAATTGCATCACTGTATAATACACGTCATTTTTTTCAACGTAGGCTTATGAAAGTGATTTAGTTTTGAAGAACTGGAAAATACGCATTTCGAAACAATATCTGTTTAGAACACATATTGATGAATCCCCGTGGACTGAATTTACTGAAAGTCTCTCCCATATTTTCGTAAGTTTTATTACTATAATTCTATTACTAAGCTTGTTATTCGACTTCATTTACTATGAATCTTGTTTATTAGTTTTTAAAGAAGGAAACCTTGTTATAGGATTTCTCAGAAGAGTCCAGATCTTTGAATATTGTGTTCACGTTTCAAAGTCTCATCAATCCAAGTCGTGGTATTTTTATAAAGAGGTTACCACAAGTTCACTAATGCAAGTGAATAACTTTGTCTCTTACAATGCCTTTTTAGACCTTTTAAGATTCGATTTCTTGAGTTTTACTCCTGTAACTTCCCTCCTGAACGAGTCAACCTGGTTGTGTTCATTCTTTTGTCATTTTGAGATGAGACTATATGGCTGATTCTTTTGTGTAGTTTTCGCTGAATATATGTTACGTGTTGTATGGAGAGAGGTTTACTTGGGTGAGCGACATGGGTCGCCAACTGTTTAATGTACTTGTTGGTGACTTAAGCGAATTATTTTATTTATTAGCCCTCCTCACTAAACAATCTTTGTCTCTAATATAGCATATTTATTACTAAACGTAAGATATGCATAATATATTTTATTTTGTGCGTTGAGTATTTAACTAGCCTCAATTCCTTATTTATCATTTGTAGCCTGTTCGTTGGTATGGTGTGGGTAGTTGTGAAATTCGCCTTGTATATGCAAAGAAACACTCAGAATATCCTGTAGAAAAGTCTCTGCGTACCCCAAATGCAATTGCTGTGATCCATCAATCAGGTCTAGATCTTCTAGATTTAAAATCTGGTCATCCGCTTATGACTATTACTTTAAGATGGAGTGAGTAAAGAGCTTACTGGTTTTTTCTTGGAAGAATTGTTGCGATGTCAGAATATGACCATGTTTGGTTATTCCTTAGCATAGACCTCACGATATTGCTGAGAAACTGCATTCTAGGTTCGTTGAATCAAAGTTTGATAATGGTTACCTTTCAACTGAGATAAGAGATTAGATTTTACTTAACAAGCTATTAAAAACTACTAAAGGTTATCTTAATATTTTTTAACTGAACACTAGTTTTGGTTTTTTTCAGTCATCCATTTGTCTACAAAATTAATGTTAAACTTCGCATTTGTAAATTTGAAGACGTTTAAGCTGTAAATAGTTAACAAAGTGGTAAGGAAAAAGTAGTTCTAAATATTATATACTTTGCAAGCCATTAGGCAGGCAGAAAACTACACATAACTGGAAAAACAGTGAGCCTCTAATAGTACCACACTTTCGAAGATCATTTTCTGCCAAAAATATATCTAATCGATGCTATGCATTTCGTCTTTAAACAAATATCAAACGCGATATTGAAGACACTTAATTTGTGCTATTTAAATTTTATTAGTTTGAGAAAAATATAATAGAACGTCCTACTTATGTACGCTTTCCTATTTTAGAGATCGGATCAACTTATACTATTCTCTCTACTCCGGTATCTGATGGTCTGATTAGTCGCCAGCTTGGATCGCCTACAATTTATGAACTACGAATTGCTTCGGAAATTACGGATTCCCCATCAAATGGTTTGAAGATAAAAGTGCATTCTAGTTCTGACCATGTTAATTCATCTCTGGAGAGTGACTTTTCACATACTGTCGACTGTCAGGGTATATTCATCCGTCACGAATCTGCACCTAACAACTGGCAAGCAGTCAAATCGTTTTACTCAAACGAAATGATTGCAATTCATTCATCCACTTATCATGGTTTGTGTCGTCCTTTCAGAATGTGGGAGTATTCCAGACTAGGTAGATCTAATTGGCAAGAAGATTCAAGAAAATCTACTCCACCAGTTGTGGTGAAAAGGTAGTTTTAAAAGTCGTTTTTATGTGCTTTTATTTAAATAGTGACACGAATCAAATTAATGAATCAAGTTAATGGCTTATAAAACTTACTGGTTCGGTTATTAATTAGTCATATCATTACTAGGTTTTCAACAACGTTTCATCTTTTGACTACAAATTCCAATGCTTTAGTCAGTCATAATCAAAATATAGCGCGGCATAAATATACGTTATCCCAAGTTGCCATATCATATCAGGATGATGAGATGAAATCAATAAGTAGCAAACAAACCAAAATAATGTAATAGTGATGACCATGAGAACGATCCAACATTGAGAATATGATTCAAGAAGACAGAATAAAAATGGTATACATAGAAGATTTAGAGGAGGATAAACGATAAATATGTGTCATTATGACCAATTCTGATTCGTCTCTCCTAAAGTCTCTAACCATTGATCTCAGTTGTGTGTCCATCTTCTAACATACTTCATAGGTTGTTTTGTTTGGCCACCTGTAGCGTTTTTCCAACCTACCTTTACTCCATCCAGCGTTGCACATTGATTTAGTTTGTGCTTAGGCGCACATAACATATGTCTCAGCCATATCAATCTATGAAGATTCATAGCCTCATTAACTAATTTGGCGCCTTTAACACTACTTTTGGCTTTTGATAATCCTTTATAACCATGGTTCTAGAGCTTATGACTTGTTTTTGTGCTAGATATTTGTGGCATAGATTTCGAATATAATCAACACTAAGACAGAATTTGTTTAGTTCAGTGAAGTTAGAAAGGTTCATTAACTAAGAAATAGGTCGATGAAGTTGATTTTATCAGACAAATTTGTTTCATCTATTCCTGTCATATTGTTTCTGCTTAATGATTTCTCATTCTGTGAAAACACTTTATGTTGTTGGTTGATACCTGATTTATTCGGCACCATTTAGGTAAGAGACTGAGTAACGTTTTTTACTAATTTGCTGAAAAGACTTTATTAACCAACTAAATATAAACGTTAAGTGTTCGCGCGCGAGATCGAAGGTCCTGGGTTCAATTCTTGTGTGCAGGGTCGTAAATTCGCACTGATGAGAAGTCCCATACGAAGACAAAATGGCCGGTTAGTGCTCCCAAGTTTTCAGTGGTGGTCTAATTGAAAAATTGGTTCATAATTTAAATGAAATTCAATCATCTTCATGACCCCATTCTGATAAATATAAAAGTTATTATTAAGATGATGATTTGATTAAAACATACATTTTAACAGTCCTACATATTTATTTCTTAATGGTTATCAAAAATGCATACTACCAGTGAATTCTGTTGTAAAACATAGTGGTCTTATATTTTATAACTGACATCAATCATGAATCAGGCTAAATGTTAAGGCTTGTTTAAAATATAATGTTTATTTTTTGATGACTTGAATAAATTCTGATGAATTAGTGAATACTTCACTCACCATACGGTTTGGATTATCTCACATCTTTAATTGCATTCGTGAATGGATAGAGGTTTAAAGTAAAATAAATTTTCTAGTGTTCTATTAGACAATACAATATACAGCTCGACATTCTTTTATTTTTGTCAGTTCAAGACTAATCATAGCAACTCAGTCGGGTTGTGTACTCACTTTATTTACCATGATCTAATAATAAGATCGATATTATTTGGGAAAATGCCCTTAAGAATAAGGTAATGAGTAGATGGAGACTATCATCGTTTTCGCTTAATGAATCTTCATTTCGTTTGGGCGCCTACTAAGCCTCATCGTTCCACACACAACTGAGTTAATGCAGCCGAACTTAAGTGATAACTATTATTAAGCGAAGTGAGTTGTCTCTGTTTTCATTTATCGGTATTAAAATGGTCATAAACCTATGTAACGATTAGTGTACATCACTTGATCTCTTATTTTTCCTCTATTTTTGATGTACAGACATATTCCATTATCAGGCTTAGCTAGATTATGGTATTCGTTGATGCATGATAAATCTGATGAATTCAATCATTACGGTATGAATCAAGATTTAAGCCATACAAATGATCATGAACATCATGACATTTACTTTTTAACTTCGGATGGAATTATTACTTCTGTATCGAACTATGGGTATGAAAACTGGCGCGTAAGTTAGTATATTGTTTGGTGCTAGGTTCTAATGTGTCACTTCCCAAATTGATCTTCACCACAGTATGAATAGAGATGAAATTAAGATATTTGAGCAGAGACCATATATATTAATATTGTTTAAACAATTGATCAGTGTTCGTTTTGAAAATGATAGTTCATTGTTCTTGTTCCACCGGATGTACCTGCATCCCAGAGTTGATGTTCACTTAAAGACTCGAATCCAGTTCTGCACATCAATAGGAAGATCCAAGCAACCAATACAAAATGAATTAATCCTCACTTCATTGCACAAGCTAGTGGTTATCTAGACTCAGTAGCTAAATGGATAATGTGATGGTGTTTGAAGCGAACAGTGCTGGGTTCGAGTCTCGAAGTGGACATCAACACTGGGATTCAGGTACATAAAGCTGATGAGTCCGAAATAGGGCGGAACGCGCATCCTGGATTTCACTGCTAGCCACTACGATCTTAGCTTATAATGCTTGTGACTGAAAGCAATATCGAGACAATCCGTACAAGATGCACATATGCCCAATGAGAGACTGATCAATTGCAGTCCTAAACATCAATGGGAGGATTTATGCAATCAATACAAAAATGAACTAAGTGCTTTATATGTTTTGTATTCTGTCATTAATCATAAGCATTTCTGGCGATATTACGGTTAGTTTCTTCCACAAAAGGGATAGGCTAGTTTTATTTGACAACCCATTATTTCTAGTGATTTATAGTTGAAATTGTAATGAGTTGAACAGATTTTAGCATTCTGTTAGTATAATAAATAAATAGTGATTTCGATCAGGAATCATTTTGAAATCTTTGTAACTTCATTAATAAATTTCAGCGGACTTTTCAATTTACTTAATAAATGCTGTTAATAACGATAAGAATGATCATTTTCAGTGCTGTTTTCAATTATCCTTTGTAAGAAAGAACAAAACCTAAAATTTTCTTGCTATTGTTGAGTTGCTTTGTTGCTTATTTTTACCGAGGATTTTTGTTTTATTCATTTACCAGTTGCTGTCATCTCACTTAAACATCATATTCTCGAAATAAAGTGTTTCTTTAGTTTGGTAGTATTGTGGTGTATACCACTTATGTTGACAAATGTAAGTAGTATGTAACTGATCAGAAGTGAAATGCCTGGCATCCGAAGGTTGAGAAGATCGAATTGAAGAAAACAGGAATGTAAACAAGGATTAATTGTAGTGAAAACGAGAATGAAGGAAAGATGAAGCATTATGAATCTTTTCCTCCAAATTGACCATTTGTTCTTGTTGCATTCAAATCATTGTCTTGAAAATTGTTTGTAGGTAAATTCTGAAGTCTCCTGGTTACAAGTTTCACGAACCTTAGGAACACTTACGTCTCATGGAGAGGAAAGATCTGTTGATAAGCATTTAGATGATCTGTACATAGAACACTTTCATCCCTCGTTAACTACAATCAATCTTGCATCTTTAGGACAAGGATTTGTTCGTGATCTTAGCGTATTTTCCAAGATAAAGGTAGGTTCATATGATTTAAAAAATACCAAAAGCTTGTTGTTGAAAAACCTCATTTTCTATTATAACTGCCCACCAGCGTAACGAGGTCAAATCACTTTGACTGTGTTTGTATTTATGTCATCTAAACACTGACTTACAATAAAGGTAATATCCAATCACAATGAAGTCTATTCAGATTCTGGATAGTGTTGCCTGCTGACTGTATATATCAGTAGATGTATTTCTATTTACTCACTTTTTGATTTAATTTCTTTGTTAATCAGTGGGTTAGTTTGCTTTTTTAAAATTCTATCTCCGACATCCGCTTAAGTAGTTATGATTATTTGATATTTATCCGCTGTTGTTTGATTTAGTTCCATGTGCTTGTAGTTCAGAGTATAGGTGTTCAAATTGAATCGGCATTTACGATTAAATTTTAATTGCTAATATTTTCATTGTCGAGCTAAAAATCATCATCGGTGATACCGTTTTAGTGAATAAAGTTTACTCAATTGGATGAAAATCCAAGTGTATAACTTATTCAATCTATACTTTTTTCTTCATGGAGGGGTAATAATTCTTTTCTACTGTACTGTAATTGTTAACCAGTCTTCCAGTTATATGAAGCCTTTAAAAGTGGGGATTTGTAGCTCAGGTTGATGATTTTGGTGGGGTTTGTTCTATGAGCTGGATGGTTCGGCCGTCGAGCTGTCATCGTTCTTCTGAACAGCGCCATCAGTAACAACTTCACGTAGATGTGCTCGGATTTTTCCACATATGACTCACAGCTTGTCCTGTAGACCTAGATTTGGACCTTTAATCTCTCATTGTTTACTTTATTTTGATTGTATATCCTATTGATTTGATTATTTTTCATATATTTGTCCATGATTTTTCTGATCTGTTGATAGATTGGATTGATTTCAATGTGTTTGTTGATTGCTGATTGACATGAGTTCCAAGCTTCTAAAAATTCTTTGGTATTTTTAGGATTCTTTCTATCCAAGATCTCGACATTCAGATTGTGCTGATGATGTTCAGAAGAACGATGACAGCTCCACGAATAAACCATCCTGCTCAGAGAACGAAACTCCACCATGAGCCTTTAAAAGTAGATTTCCAGAAAAGGTTTGAGGATCGCGTTGAGAATTCGCCTATTGGTTTTGAGTTTTAGCTTGAAATTACTAATTCAATTTCTATTATTAAAGTGTAACTTCTAAGTAAAAAACGTATATATTTTTATTGTTGTGACTTGAGACACTAATTGATATCACATGCTAAATTTACCAGCTACAATCCTGACTAGAGTTTTTTGTTAGAGCGTCTACTATTCGGTTTATATCCTAGCGTCCTTCGTTTAACTATACGTTCTGACCCTCACAGTTAACTCTGTGCCGACGAAAGCTACGCTTCTATTGGTCCGCTATCCAGAAACATTTCACTATCCCCTGCCTTAAGTCTGGAGAGCAGTTAGCAGTCAGCTTCTAGCATACCCACATTTTAATCATCCAGCCCTGCCAGCCAACACAATCAAGAACTTTCTCAAACACCTACTGGCCTATGTACACGAGTTGTCAAACTGCAAAACATACCAAATAAAAAAATCACACTAAATACAATTATACTATAAGCAGTAAAGAGCGAGACACACAGTACATAGTTAGCAATAATTAAGGAATGGTAAAACGTTTAACGAAAATTAGTAGATCCATTGGAAGCTTATAATGAAGAAAACGTAGAAATACAGTAATATAGTTATTCACTGATCATACAGTAAAAGCGTGTATAATAATTCGAAAAATTGTTTTACAAGTTCCAACTTTTCCAGTATTCGTTTCATTTACAGTGAAAATGATTTTTGTATCCAATTAATAATGGAACATCATATATATTACCTGATCTAATCTGTATGCGAAATTGTGAGGATGTATATCGGTACTTAGGATTTAGTTATATCATGTTTTAGACAACTCATTAAATACAGGTGCATTTGTTCTGCCTCGAGCTATACCTTTTTTCGTTCAGTTTAGTAATATTGGTATCCAATCAAAACGGTGGGAGCGAAGAAAGCGAGCTGACATTAAACCGGCTGTGTCTGATTTTCCCTGTCTTTTTGCCTCTACGACTGATCAATACGTAGTTTTTTAAACGTATAGTTTAATGACGAGTCTACCTTCAAAATGTATTGTAATTTTTCGAATTTGGTAACAACTTGTTATTTCTATTTCTCCAGTGCGCCATTTTTCACTCGCTCTTGCTCTTGTGAACCAGCAATATTAGCTGCTTATTTAGATTGATCTTTCATCTGCAGCTTTATAGTTGATAGCTGAGTATGCTAAACACCAAGCAATGCTTTATCATACCATCTCAATCGATATCAACCAATAATAGATAACTTCATTGATATCGAGCTTATGATTTCACTAATATTCCTTAATTGTTGTATTTCCAGCCTACAATACCTACTATGCCATTATTGGTTTCTACTGGATGGGATTCTGTTGGTGTTGTTGATCGAACTAATGGTAAATTATTGGCTGCTCATCGACTCCCAACTCAACCAACTGGTCAACCAATTGTTATTTCACTTGCACTATCCAATACAACTAAATTTTCAGAAGTTGTAAATGTTCCTACTATATTGTTGGTTCCATGTAATGATATGTACGTGTTGTTCTGTAATTAAATGTCTTTTAATGCAAAAAACATAACATCATTAGATGCTTTACTATCGAATTTCAGCGAATATTTTTGTTTGCATAACTCTACCTGTAGTTCATCTGAGGTTACCACCGGTCCCATGCCCACACAAAGGGGGAGGGTTGGGAATGGGGTCAGCAACCACATCCCATAGAAAACAACCTTGCTAATAAACACTAACAAGAATAAACAAATTAAATCACTTAAACTCTACCCTCCGAGTTGAAGGGTCTTCATTCAGAAGAATTATAACACGTTATGGCAAAAGCCGAGATCCTTCAGAAGTCACGAGACAGAATCCCTTCCTAACAACCACAGCAACAATTAATATAGGTACATGGACAATGTGGGAGACTGGGAGTACCAATGAAATAGCTGCGGAAATGCGGAGATATAACTTGACGGTTCTGGGAATCAGTGAAACCTATTGAACCTAGTGTGGACAGGAAAAGATAGATTCGGTAGGTATGTTGCTGTACTCTGGTGACGAATAAGAAAATGCTGCACACACTGAGGGAGTTGCTCTGATGCTTTCAAGAGAAGCTCGTAAAGCACTTATAGGATGGGGATCTCTTGGATCCAGGATCAACAAAGCATCTTTGAAAACAAAGAGGGAGGGAATCACAATGAAGACTATAATCAGCAACAGTCGAACAATAACGGAGAAGGTCAAGGTACAGACCGAATAGACAGAAGCAAATGAGCAAGTGGATTGGAGTATTAGAGCTGATAAAAAGAAATAGATGGAAGAGCTAGTAGTGGCAGCGGCGAAAGCTGGAAGAGCAGGAAATATGGAACAACTATATGATACAACGAAGAAACTGGTGGCGGAAAAAATAGTAAGCCAGGTAAGTCAGTCCAGAACAGAGAAGGTTAAACCAATCACTGAGAATCAAGAGCTGAGGAACAAATGGGTAGGTCAACTTGAAGAACTCTTGAATGAGCAGCTCAACTGAACCCACCAAACATAGCAGCGGTACACACAGACCTCCAACAGTGGTCACTCCACCAACGATCAAAAGTCAGAATGGCCATCAGACAAATCAAGAGTGGGAAATCAGTAGGACCTGACAATATACCAGCTGAATCACTGAAATCCGAACATGCTACACGTTCGATGACGAACACTGGTGGTTGGCCTATACTCTCCCTCGAGGTGTAACATACGTATGTAAGTTTGCTTGCATACATTTTTAATCATTATTTCTGATCGTTACTGGATGCAGCTCTACTTTTTGAGATAATGGGCATATTACCAAACATCAATTGCGCTAAAGTAGTAATAACGACTCACAAATATCATAATGTTTGTGGTGAATTAATCATCTTAAAGGCGTATCACTTACGAAGAATATGCTTCAACATAAGACGGGGTACATCAGTTCATTTTCAATGCAATTTCAGCTAATATATATAGCTAAAATAAAGGTACACCCACAGGTGTTTACTATAAGAACCGAGGCCACATTCTTGAAGGTAAAATGAAGCATTAAATTTGCAAACTAGGTTAATCTTTTATATTTAGCAAGAGATTATTGAAGTATAAAATTTGATAAAGCCAAGAGAGAAACAATGACTGATATTTTGCTCATATTTGATCGTCTGATTAGCTACTAGTAGTAAAATAACCATACGTTAGTTATTGAATAAGAAACAGAATCCTATGTCCTCATTATTTTATGTTGTTGAGTTATTAAAATTTCCAATTGCACACTTATTTTGCGATTTCGTGTCGTATAAAATTAACTAAACTGGAATTTTCTTTTCTTTTTGCTTGATTTCCGTTTTTAGACTTGTTGGTTTTGTTTTAGTACAAAGTCTACGCATATGGCTTTTGATACCTTTGATAATTAGTTTGACTGTATCATTCTTTGTGCTTACATGGTGTTGTGATTTGGATGCATAAACTGTTGAAAACTTAAAATTAATATTATTCTGTTTTTGAATAGGTTTAGCTAATTTTTTGTATTTATGATTATTGATTCTCGGATTTTATGTGTCGATAAATTTTAATTAGTACTATTTGCCTCAACCATCATTACTTTAAGTTAGTGGGTCAACGCTGATTTGGATCTGTTATTGTTATAGTCTGTTGTATTTCCTTCTAATGTTCTCCTCATTTGACTTCTCATATACTTGTGTATTTTCTTAACCGTGATAAGATCATTTGTCACATGGGATGACAGATAAAAAATTTGATAAGATTTTCATTTTTCATTACTTATATCTTTAGTTTCCTTAAATCATAATGAATTGCAATATAAACAATAATGAACGTAAAAACGAGCAGCAGTAAGGTAATTTGAAATACTTTTTGAGAAATACATCATTCTTCATTAAAGTTTTGAAAAGAGCGTTTGAAATCAAACACCCTCTATTATATATGTAAATTGAAGAACTCAACTAATCTTATTTCCCAACATAAGACACACAATAGTTCTCATGGGAATCCTCTCAGGAATATGATCATTACATTTTAACGCCGTAGTGAGCTGTTACGACGACTTGGAAGTCTCGACGCTTTTAAAACAACGTTTAGTTTGTTGACCACTTCATTTCTTTTTGGAATTGAAGCAGTCAATCCTGGTTTTCAGATGAGATCTGAAAGCTGAAAACAGCCTAAATGAATTGTTTAAACATCTAAGGGTAGCTAAATTCTATTCGTCATTGGTAAAAAAAACCTCACAATTTAAAAGATTCAACTCTCAACATATTCTTTATTTTGGCTCCAACTTTTATTTGCGAATAAGCTTCTTATGTACCCATCCAACTAGTTGAAATTCGGATCTCAGCTCATAGATTTAAATCTGAAGTTAGTATTGGACATTACGATAAGGCAAACAAATTTTGATCATAATGAACTAATAAAAAACTGCATAGTAGGAGTGGCACATTTACATACATTTACGCTTCCCTACTTCGCAATGAACAAAAGTCAGTCGCTTAGTGGTTCGACCACTATTCACTTTTCTTGAAATCTTACCCTAACTCATCATTACTTATTCAATAATATGTCATTTTTAAGATAACCCAGTCATCTTAGTCAGTGAAGGCTCATAGCATCTCTGTTTAGAACTTTGAGCTTAACACTACGGTTCCTCATTCTACACTTAATGTAACAAATTAGCAGATATGATTAACTGGGAATCTAACGAATTCGAATACATTGCACAGAAACAGCTGGTTCTTTCTCCAATAGATTTCCTATATTGTTTGTTTCATTTTCATAAATGTCCAAGGAAATAATTGTGAACAAGAGAAAAAAGCGAAAAACGCTAATAGCATGTCGAAAAGAATTGAGACATAAATTACCCATGTTCATTAGCATTAGCGTAATGTTTATCTCATTAGAGATTTATCGATGTGCTTATGACTAATTTATTGTTCATATGGACAACAGATAGTGATTTATCATGTTTTATTAAATTATACAATGGGAAACATGATTAATATGAGAAAAGTAAAAGGCGTGAATAAAATTTGTGGGAAGAACAGGATATGAAAAGGTATTGTTATCTATAAGTACACAATAAACAAACAGTGGGCATAGAAAGAAGAAAGAATGTAGAAGCACCTGAAAAAGTTTGATTTTATCGTTTTACAGGAAGAAGAAATGTCACCAACCAACAGAATTAGGATTTGTGGGGTTACTTCTCGGTTATTATGAGGTATTGGGATAACAATCTTGTCGCTTATAATGTCTCATGGTCAGTTTTTTAATACTGGTCTGTGTATTGGGCTTTTGGCTGGACTTAATCACCGACAGTAAGTCATCCACTGATATGAACACTCGGGTACGTTTGTTTCGAAATCGCAGTTTTATGGTTGGATCATGTAAATGTCATATTAAACAGGATTTCTCCCAGTTTATTAGCTTTTTATGCATGGGTAAATAATATAAATAAATTAATTTCATATATCTTACGAATCTCCACTTGTACTGGTTGAACAATATCAAATGTAACTACTACTTTTTGTGGGAATCAGTTCGAAAACTGTTTAAGACGCGTCAGGAAATTGATACTACTTTTATAGTAATTCAGTAGTATGAAGTATAAGTGTGAACTTGAGTGGTTTCTAGTGTTAGCACGTCTAGGTGGTAGGATGGATGAGAAGCCTTGTATAATCATCCATGTAATACCCAATTTTGTCAGCTGGAAAAGTCCGTGCAATTTATTGGGATTGAGTTTATCATAAATATATATAACTGCCTAGTATTCTTTGTAGTCGTATTTAGTTACGATAAGCTTGTCAGCAGTGAAAACAAGCATGGAAATTTTAATGGTTGAATAATGTTACTGTTTATATTTATTGTCACTCAACTTAAAGAAAAATATTGGAAGCTGGCTCCTGTTTAATTTAGATTTTCCAATGTAACAGTTGTAGATAATTTTAAGCAGATAGTCATCTTAAAATTATTAATGAAGAAATTAAGGTAGGATACCTTCTACATTTTTTAAAGTTTCTATTTAATGATAGTTGTCTCTAGGAATCTACTCATTGCTCCTATCATAACGATCTACTTTATTTCTTATAACATAAGTAATTAGTTTTCTAATTGGGGATATTTTTATTACTTTTATGGATCTTGTGTCTGTAGTAAGTTGATAGAATCTATTCTATGTAGGATGTTGAAAAACTGAATTTTCTTTATAATCTGGATAATAACTGCATTGCTTCATATATTAGTTGAGCAGTAAGTTATAATAACATCGTATATTTTATGTGTTTATCATAGTTTCAGAGAATTAGCACGGCCTACCAAGGATACATTACTGATGTACTCATTGAATACTGACGCTTATTTTACTAGAGAGAAATACCATTACCAACTGGTCTGTTTAAGAACTACTTTAATATGTTTATCCATTTCTAAGTGTTACTGAAGTCAGTGAATCGTTCCCAAATAACAGGATACAGACGTGTGCAAAATCAAACTTAAAATACATATGTTTCCTTGATAAATAGATGAGGTAGATACATAAGTAATTCACGAAAGAATAATTCTTTAGTTACTGTGCAATCTAGTTAGTCATGATATTTGTCAGAATGATCATGAAGCTACTGCTAGAAAAGTACTAACCAGATTAATAATTGGATGGTTACCAATCTGAGATGATCAAAGTATGTTTTATTTATGTACTAGTTCCAAATCCCTATCGAATAGATATAAGAAAGCTCTATATCTGCCTAAGCAAGGTTTGCTTTGTAAAAAAAGTGATTGATGAAAGATAAAAATAAACATTACTGATTCGAAAAACTTACGGGTTCTAAAATGGAGGTTCGAATATGATGTCACCTGTGGAATTTCTATAGATTGTGAAAGAAATGCACTGCTGAAAATGATCACTGCAACAAAGCCATACACTTAGACTACTACTCTATTGTGACAGCTACAAATAAATAAGGTTTGAGTGAATTGACCTTTGATAAGTCCATTTAGCACTTCTTGGTCCTCTGAAGCTATTTAAATCTTGTAAAAGTCAGATAATTTCATCGTCACATTTCTGAAATTAAACCCTCATTATTGGATAAACGACAAATAAACATGATTAGTAGCTCTGTACACGTCCACTTAATTTGGACAAAGTAAACTTATGTAAAGGTTTCGAGTGGTCTGTCACATACTTCCCTGTATTCGTACGATTTTCATGTTTTAAACTATAAAGATCTGCGCATCAATAAGTCTGTACAATCAGTGTCAGTATTTTAACAATTTAATTTATCATTGTTCTCTAACAGCGATTTAATTTTGACGTTGAAAACACCTGGATAGGTGTTGCTTCTTAGCATGGCACTGCTGAGTAGTGCGAATCCGCAACTCAAATTTTGACCTAACCAAGCAATTGGCACTAGATAACTGAACCGGTATCTAGTGGTTTTCTATTCAACAATTCACAGTTATTATCATATAATATCTTTCCAACTCTTCCAGAGTTTTTGCATCAAGTGTAATTGGACTGGTGTTCTCCGTGTTGTATTTGGAGACCTTACTTTTTACCTTGTGTATGTTGAGGACTACTGATGCAGTGGCTACTGCTACACTGGTTCTATTGGTATGCATTTGCTTGTGTGTGTGGGATAGAGGAGCTTGGTCATCTGCAAAGACCATATCGTCTAGTTGCACGGAAGTTGTCCATTGTATTCCGTGCTTCCCTTCAGATGTAGAGGTCTTCATAATCCAGTCAACCACCAGAAGAAAGAGAAAGGGGGAGAGTAAGCAGACTTGACTGACACCGATCCTCACTTGGAATGCGTTTGTCAGCTGTCCTTCAAGCGCGATTTTTCAGTGTAGTCCGTCGTATGATTTGCGATTGATGATGATGACTTCCACAAATACACTATAGTTTCGAAGAACATCACATAAAAATAAATAAGAATAATATATTTGTAATATCCCAATGAGTAGAAAATTAGATATCCTGACGTTTCGTGACTTAGTGTAAGTCACTTCTTCAGAGAATAAAAATCACAATAGTCTTCTATCCACGCTGTCAAATGCTTTCTCATAATCAAGTTAGTTGATGTGTGTTGACGAGTTCCACTCAATCGATTGTTCAACGGTGATCCGTAGTGTTAGGATTTGGTCTGTGCACGATCGATCCCTACGGAATGCAGTCTGTTGATCTCGAAGTTGGGTGTCTACTGAATCTTTCGTCTGGTTCAGCAACACTATCGAAAGCTTCTAGTGATACCGATAGTACTGCGATGCCTCTGCAGTTCTCACATTTGCTTAGATCTCCTTTCTTTTGTATTTTGATGAGGTCTCCTTCCTTCCAGTTTATCAGCGTCACTTGTTTCTCATCGAAAATCTTCGTGAATAGAGTGTGGATCATGTTTGCAGTTGCTTCTATGTCTGACTTCAGTGCTTCGGCTGGTATATTGTCAGGTCCTACTGATTTCCCACTCTTGATTTGTCTGATGGCCATTCTGACTTTTGATCGTTGGTGGAGTGACCTCTGTTGGAGGTCTGTGTGTACCGCTGCTATGTTTGGTGGGTTCAGTTGAGCTGGACTATTCAAGAGTTCAAATTGTTCTGACCATTTGTTCCTCAGCTCTTGAATCTCAATGTTCTAACCTGTTCGTTCGGGTTGAACATATTTCCCTGCTGGTCTTTTCGTCGGATCGTATCTTTGTTTCATATTCCTTTTTATGCTATCATTGTTATGTCTTGCACATATTTTCACTTACCAGCTCTAACACTCTTTTCACTCGTTTTTTGCCTCTATGTATTTAGTTTGTTCCTGAATTTCTCCACTGTCGTTCGAGGGTTGTTTATCGCTGTTTTCTTGTTCCTCTCTTGAATCTTGCTCAAGGCATCTATAAACACCCATTCTTTATGCTAATAATTCTTGAGGCCTAACTTCTCCTGGCATTTTGAAGTTTGGACTTTTCAACTCCTTTTTAGTTGTTCTCCATATTATTTTCTTCTTCGCTGTGGTGAAAGTAGAATATGATTGGTCACTGTGTTGTGACAAACAGGTA